CCCCAAACTCTCCCATGGCTGAGCTTGCTGTATGAGGGGCAGAATGGGAAGAGCCCTTCAGAGGAGCTGGGCAGCCCCACAACTGCCCTTGCGGGCGAATCCGTTGTAAGCTTCTGGGGACAGTCTTTGTGCGAAGGACCCGAGAGCTTCTCCGGGTCTTCTTGCCTCTGCCTGGGCCCTTCCCTTCTGCCCCCACCTTGGGCATCCCGCCGACGGCACGCCGTGCGCCTGGGTGCAGCAAAGGCTGCCGCTGGAGGGCCTTCCGTGCACAGTCCTGCCTGAGCTTCGTCCTCGCGCTGGGGTGCTGGCACTCTTCCCAGGGACGGCAGACGCTGCCTTGCCGTGAGGGACCATCGCTCCATTCGAGCAGGGACTGGCTGCCCCTCCCCGGGCCTTCCTGCCGTGCAAGGGCCCAGCCCTCCCTCCTATGCACGAAAGCCAACCGGCACAGCCACGTAGTCGGCCGTGGGACCAGGCGCAGCACCTTGGTCCTCCCGCCAACCAGTCCCAGAAACGGTTATATCCCTTTGCTTAATCATCTGTACCGCTTCACATAAGTCTCTGAGCATACCCAAAGTAGCGTGTTGCACCCTGTCTACCGCTCATTCCCCAAAGCTCTCCTCATGACCCTTGGAGGAGGCACACTGTGGAAACAGGCATGGCCCCGATCCACCTGATGTGCCTCCGGGGGACTCTTCGCCCGGATTGGAAGCGAGCCACGGGGTCCACCTCTGAAGGTGGTCTCCATTGGAAAGATCTCCCACTGCAGCGCCCCCTCCTGCAGGCCGCACCTCCCCGACGCTCCCACGGTCTGTGTGATCTGGGTCCTCCCTCATCCTAGACTGACGTGGAATGATGGACCCAAGTTACCGGAAGCCCGATTCCAGCTGAACAGGGAATCCTGAGTTTAGGACAGTGCAGCCGTGACACCAGTGAGGGGCTTTCCCACGCAGGAAGCATTAGTGGGGCATGTGGGCCTGAAGTCCTGCACTGAGCCGTGTCAGGTGGCCTCTGCGGCCCTTTCCAGCTTTGCTCTTTGGTGATTCTGTACTGCCACGAGTTCTCCCTTCTCTTCGCTTCTGAGCTCCAAGCCTTGGCTGGCCACTGTGACGGCTGCTCTCCGCTCGGACCTTTTCCACGCACATCTGTTGATGGGCTGCTAATCTGAGTTGCCACGTTCAGTTTGCCACCGAACTGAGACCCGGTGGCATCGTGGTACAGCGGGAGAGAGCAAGTGCTCGAATGCAAACGTGGGTCTTCTGCTTTCCGACTCCATCCTGCATTTCCCTGCCTGGAAGAAGAGCAAAGAAAAAAGAAAAACCCTTTGCAGAAGAACTCATTCGGCACCGATGTGAAAATGGAAGGTCACAGCATCTTCCAAGGAGCCCAGAAGCAGTCCTGAGGCTCCGATACCGAGCACACCACAGAGAGGCCCGCATGTCCGTGGTCCTTTCAGGCCCGCAGAAAGCAGGCCCTGGTTCAGTTCTGACCCATCCCAGTAGATCTACCTCCTGTGGCAGGAGCGCAACAACACTGAACGTAACAGCGTCACATCACGCATTGGGTGCCAATAGATGTCCTGGGGCAGAAAGGATGCCCTGGCGGAGATATTTACTTACTTATTTATTTAAAACTTTTGCATGCCGTCCCTGATGCCCCGGCATCTCAGGGCGGCTCACAATCATATTGGCATGAGCCCCTGGGCCATCCATGAGGAGAGGCACCTCTGGCGCACAGCGCTGCTCGGGCCGTCCCTGAAGCCTCCCGCCGTGGCCAGTGCAGCAGGGCCGCCTCGTCCAGCTGACGTAAGCCGTGCAACACTCTGCTCACCACCGGGCCCCTCGCGTGGCCACTCAGGCTGGCGTTTGAGATGGCCGACTGACACCACCGCCCCCTCCTCGTTTCCCAGGTCGCAACTCTAGACACACCCAGAGCAAATCTTCTCCCTTCACAGAACTCTCGGTATCCAAGGCTGTCCGAACCCGAACAGAACCCCCAGACAGGCGGATCCCCACGGGCTCCTCGTGAGAGGCCTTCTCCTCGAAGCAACCCGCACGGGCACACAAGTGAACGTGTTGCAGGAGCCAGAGCGGAGCGGCGCTTTGAGAGATGCCACGAGAAGCGCAGGGAGGCGGCGGACACAAGCATGGCAAGCACGGTGCAAAGCGAGCAGGAGCTGCAGCTCACGGGCTGGGGGAGACCACCGCCTTGCCGCACCACGTATCTGCCTCCTCACCCCACTGCCGATCGCTGCGACAGCACCCCCTTCTCTCTCCCCGCCAGCCAGCCAGCCAGCCGTGGCGTCTGCGCCTTCGTTTCACCACCGCCACTGCCTGGACGGGAACGAGAGGCAGGTGGGCCGGCAGGCTGCGAAGGCAAAGCGGAGGCATGACTCCGGGGGCTTTCTCGGTGGCCCCGGCTGGAGCGTGGGCCTTTAGCAAGACCCGCACGGGGCCTACCCCAGTGCCGGTCTGGCTTATTCCACCTGAGGCCTGCGTTCTTCCACTGGGACACGCTTCCCTCCCCTGCGAGGGCAGGACCAAGGGCAAAAGCTGCGTGTCCAGACACAATCGCAAGATCAGCATCGTTTAGCCTGACGTTCTAAAGACGCCTGGAAGAGGCATTCCAGGATAGAGGGAATGCACAAAAGCTGGGACACTTTTGCTGGTTGGGGCAAATGGGGTGGCCAGCCATACTGGGAACCTTGGAGGGCAGGTTCGGGACCCCGGCAGGCGTGCTTTGGGACTGGGCATGAGCTTCCCCCGTCCTGCCCTCACTGGGCGGACACAGTCCTTCTGGACACAGAAAGTCCTGAGCTCACACTCTTGTGCTCTTTGGATGGTTCCCGCAGTCCTCTGAGGTTTAAAAGGAGTTCTGTGACGGGCCACGGCTTCCTCTGAGGGTACCAGATGGCTCAGCAACTTTGCTCTCTGTGCAACTGAAAAAGAACTGGGGGTGCGAACGAGAAGGGAGAGAACCAGCACGGGTAAAAGCTGAATCTCCAAAGTGGCTTCGCGATCACAGAAGCCCCCGTGGAAAAGGAGGGTGGTTTTGAAAATGGTGTGAAAATGGGCTGCACTTCAGCTCAAGGTCGGACTTTTCTAACAGGGATGCTCAGCAAAAGACGGAGCTGTGAGGGGCAGTGGCCACTTTCCATGGCGGCCACGCGTCAGCCCGCAGGGAACAGCCAAGACTGACGTTTCCTTATTCGCAGGAAGGGTTGAATCAGAGCTCCGTCAAGGCCCTGAGTAAGGAATTAAAGCTGAAAAGCCCATGCACCCCAAGATGAGCCACGGCTAGGGGACCGTTGTCTCTCTTCAGATCCACTGCGATCCCCTCGAACCCAAGCAGCTTGCTTTGTATTTTAAGGGAACGGGGGAGTTCTCCCAGGCCTGGGGCCACGTATGCAGGCATTAACTAGAATCCCTCATGACCCCAAATCATCCAGAAAAGCACCTGTGAGGGATGCGGCCCTGTCTGCTGGGTGCCCCCTGGCAGGAATAGCCAGAGTGAGCTTCTCTCGGGGATGCTGTTAGACAGTAGCCCAGCTGAGCTTGAGGCAGCATGGCAAATGCATGATGGGAACCCTGGAGTCTGACCATATCTGGAGGGGTGCTGGGGTCCCACCCCTGGAATAAATGAATGAGAAGTTGGGTGAGTGTGCCCGAAACCAAGCTCCCCAGATCACTGTCTCAAGGAAAGGAGCCTCTTGTACCCCTGATCCAATCCGGATCAGTACCCCTTGGCTGCCGTGACCAGCAGCTGAGGCCTTCCGCTGGATGCCATTCCCGAGGGAGACCTGGGAGGAGGCAACGGGGGGAGGCTTCTCAGTGGTGGCCCCTTCAATTATGGGAAGACCTCCCCACTGAGGCCTTCCTAGCACCAACTCTGCCTTTGTTTTGGCTCTCCCTCAAGACTGCCCTCTTCACCCTGCAGCTCAATGGTATTTCAGGCTACTTCATGGCATGATGAGACCTTCATACCAGCTGCTTTCAACAGGACTTGTTTGTACTAAAATTCCTTTAGCTTTTAAATTGGTTTTATTGGGGGAATCACGCTGTTCTTATTGCATTTATGGTTTGTGTTTTTACGAATCGCAGGGACTGCCCACGGAGCTTCGGCTGTCAGGCAGTAGAGAAATGAAATATGGAGAGTGGCAATGAGAACCATCACACACATACTAAACACCCAGCGGATCTCCCAGAGTTGCCTTTTGCCCTGGCTTCCTTTGGCAAGCTCCTTCCGCTTTGGTCTGTGCGATGCTGGCAGTGAGCAACCCAAGGAAAAGGTCCAGGCTGCACGGCGCTGCGTCTGACGGGGGACATTTCCGGCCATCGCTGGTTTCATGGCACATTTCATGATGCAAAAATACACACTCGCAGATGTCTTAATCGGCATTAGTTTAATTGGAGGGCTGCACAAGGAAGGTGTGAGCTAGAGAGAGAGCAAAGCTTCCAGGTTCAGAGGAAGTGTGCCTCTGAATACCGCCGTTTTCCCAACCTGGCACCCTCCAGATATTTTGTACTACAGTTCCCATCATGCTGGCTGGGAATCATGACCCTTGCAAGCCAACCCAGCTGGAGGGTTACCGGGTTGAGAAAGGCCGCTTGCTCAGTGCTCTCCAGTCAGGATGGGAGCTGGGGATGTTCAGGTGCTCCGAAATTCTCCAATTTTCACCCCAAAGTTCACTTTGCTCACTCCCATTTTCGCCTCTGCTCTGCTTTTCAGCCGTCTGACTAGGAAAAGCGCACCTTTCAAATGTGTGAACACACATATTTTTAATGTGTGTGTCTCACTGGCAAACTTTTTTTAAAAACAAGATGCATTCCTTGACTGCAGCTTCCCAGCTTGGATATCCGTGAGCTGAAGAGCACTTCCCCCGCCTCCCCCACAGCAATCCCCCTCCACAGCACGGAGGGGAGGGGGTGGATTTGCCTATTGAGTAACGCGAAAAGCCCCCCACCCCCATTTATAAATAATGCATTTCCTTTGTCTTGTAGGAGTTCTGGAGGCAGAGGTGTCCTCCCATCCGCGGTGAACGGCTTACATAGCAAAGCTAATAGGTTCGTAAATTAGATTTTGTGTTCATTTGTTTCTTGTTTGAAGAGGACTATTAATCTATTTGGTCCTCTCCCTCTCTCTCGTTGGGGGACAGCGCTCTCTCCAATTACCTCCCGGATCAGTTGCTTCCCACTTTTCCTTCCAATGTTTTAAATCTCCCCTCCCCCTCTGCCCACGATTTCTCTCCCGTCTGATCTGCGACAACAATTTAGCAATGACTGAGAAGTTGTGCTGGCAATGAGAGCTACAAAGCAGAGGCTTCAGTCTTACCCGTGGCACAATGCAGTACATGGATGAAAAATCCAAACGAACCTAGCCAGCTGTGCATGTGGCACATCATTAAATTATGGCATTGATTGCTACAGGATGTTCGAATAGCAACCAGTCACAGGATCTAGAATCGTATTGTTCGGGGAGGGGGTCCAAGCTACACTACCCCTCTCGCACAGCTGTCCAGCTGCATCTAGAAGGCCTCCAGCTGGGCAAGCCCACCACCTCCCTCGGTCTTGGGTCCCATTCCTGTACTGCTCTCCCCGTCAGGACATTTTTCCTGCTATCTAGCCAGAATAAAGGGGAGTCAAAAATACATGGAGAAAGCCCTCCGTGCCATGCCGGTGCCAGGGACAGTGTGCCTGGGAAAACAGGAGAAAGGCCCGATGGCTACCGGCCCATCAGAAGACAAAAGAATGAGCAAACGTGCATGAAATGTGCATGTGCTAATTGACGATTTAGAAATCTGAAATGCCGTAAGAGTGGGAAATGGCACAGCCTGGGTCCCGTTACCCAGTCCCATGGGCTCCAGGCCTTGTGCTCTCCCCTGATGGGTTCTTTATGTCAGTGCAGCAAAGGGCCACTAGGATGGTGGCTGGTTTGCAGGGGAAGCCAGATGAGGAGAGACGGAGGAAGCTGGGCCTCTTCAGCCTGCAGAGGAGGAGACTCAGGGGGGACCTGTTAGCAGCATGCAGGTATGTGAGGGGGTGCCTCGCAGAGGTGGGTCATGACCTTTTTCCCCTGCAGTGGAGGGCAGGACGTGTTCCAATGGGGCTAAGCTCAGGGGACCAAGATTTAGGGTGGATACCAGGAAGTACTTCCTGACGGTTAGGACCCCGAGGGTATGGAATGGGCTTCCAGGGGAGGTGGTTGAAGCCCCATCGGTGAGGGTGTTATACATGCACATGGTAGGCATGTCATGAGTGGAGCCAGCTGGATCCAGGGGTCAGACTAGATGGCCCAGGAGGCCCCTTCTGACTCGCTCTGTTTCTACACACAGCATGTCACCATCTTTGCTTCCGCAGTAGAACCCACTGTCAATTCACACATGCAGGGTGCCCTGTTTGATCCTCACATGAGAAGCTTCCTGCTCTCTTTCTAGCTCTGGTAATTGTAGTCAGCTTGACTGCTGGCCGGCTGGGACCTGAGAGCAATGCTGAGGAATCCTCCCTTCTCTCTCCACCCGCCTTTTCCTCTCCAGGGCCGAAGTAGCAATTAATGGCTCGTCATCTCCAGCTCTCGTAGACAGAGGCAATGAAAGTATGAGACACCATCACAGGCCAGCCCCGTCCAGCTGGAAGCACAACCAGACGCTCTCGCTGAAGATCAGGTACTGGCACGTCCCTCGAGAGGCGGATCTGAGTCACACTGCAGATGCTCACAAACAGGCTCCCTGGAGCCCCTAAAGATGCTCAGAGTTCCCAACTCACCTGGGGATCCTTCATAGGGCTCAGACTTGGGGGCAAATGGCCACTGTTAATAATGTGGTCGTCCTTTTTTGCATTTAATTTCCGTACTGTTTACCCTTTCCACCATCACCGCATGTTGCTGTGTAAAGCAACCAGAAAAGCTGCATGATGCTCCAAGCATTGGATGAGGTGGGCAGTGGGCCGGGAAACATGCCAGAAGAAGGGTGCCAGCAGGTAAGGTCCCCCGAGACCCTTCTGGGAAGACCAACTGGCCAACTTCCTGGGAAAGCTGCAAGCCCAGGGGCATTGGCTGCCCCAAGGCCAGGCAGGTCTCACCAGGTCCCACAGAACATCCATGAGCATCAGGTCCCAAAATTCCCCCACCTGCCCGTCACGCTTCTTCCCCTGAAACCTACCAGCCAACACTGCCAGTCACATTGTGGGTTCATTATTGTAACTTTATTGGGTTGATCCTGCTGTATCATTTTACTGTAATATTGTGAACATGTGATATTGCTAAGTTTTTGGTATTATTCTCTGATATATTGTTGCATTACTATTTCTGTCATTGTTGCATTGCTTATTTTGATATTGTTTGCTATTTTGCTATTATTCTTTGATATATTGTTATGTATATATGTTTTTCTTTCTTTTTGATTCTTTGTGGTACCTACCTTGGATTTTTGTATGCTGCTTTATGTGCATTTGTCAATGCCCAGGCTGCCCTAGAGGGCTGTGTGGCAGGTCAGCAATATAAATGGAAATGCAAACATTGAGAAGCATGTGATGGGACTAGGGGCGCGACTGCTTGAGTTTGCTCAGATGGGAGCCCTGCCTGATATTGCCGGGTGCCCCTTTCCCTCCTTTCTTTCAAGAAAGCAGATCCTGAAGTTTCTGGATGCCGAGAAAGACATCTCGGTGCTGAAGGGAACCCTCAAGCCGGGGGACATCATCCACTACGTCTTCGACAGGGGCAGCACCATGAATGTTTCCCAAAACCTTTATGCCCTCTTGCCCAGGACCTCCCCGCTGAAGGGCAAGCACTTCCGGACGTGCGCCATCGTGGGCAACTCTGGCATCCTGCTGAACAGTGGCTGTGGGGAGGAGATCGACTCGCACAGCTTCGTGATCAGGTGAGGCTGGGCCGCAAGAGGCAGGGCTCTCCGTGGTGCTGGGAAGCACGCCTTTTCAGCGTGCGAGAGCAAGGCAGAAGCGTCGGGGCGAGATGGGGGCAGCCCGGTCCACCCACAGGGGCCCTAAACCCAGTGCCCCCGCCAGGGTGCCCGGCCTCTCATGCGAAGCCCCCATGCACGGACTCCTCCCCGTCAGGCAATTGCAGGGACGTGTTCCTGGGGCTGGGGCTGTGTGAGCTGACGGGAGAGGCCGGGAAGCCCCGCTCCCCGTCGGCCTGCTCAGGGGCTGCCTTTCAGCAGGACCCGATTGTCGGAGAGGCGAGGCGGTGGAGCAGAAAGGCCCAGCGGGTAGCGAAAGGCTGCCCAGTGCCAATTCCACTGCGCTGGCTTGGCCAAAGGGGATTTGGAGCCGTGTCCTCGGAGAACCCCGAGAAAGGCCGGCGAGTGCAGCTGAACACCAGCCAGTGGAGGCGTCGTCACGCGGCCGGCCTTGGACGTTCCCCACTGGGCCTGCGTGTCCACATTCACACAAGCAGCCTCTGCCCGGCACACAGCCCCTCGTTCCCCACAGCTGCATCCGCCTCTCACATGCGGGTGCCTGCACCCCATGTCGCCTGCGGCCCTGTGTCGTCTGCTGGGGGCTGCAGGGCTTCTTCTGCCTGAGCGTGCACTGGCTCAGGCCCACAGGCACCCGGGGCCCTGACCGCTCCTGCTGCGGCAGGCTGGCACAGCCACTCCCCCTCCGGAGAGGGCTTGGCCCCACGAGCCATCGTTGCGAGAGCGCCGAGTGCTTCGCCGTGACTGAGCACCCGGGGGAGGCCGGGGGCATTCCGCTGCCTGGCTCTCCTTGGCCAAACAGGCTCATTCCCCATTGTGCCTTCCTTTTCTAAAGCTTCAGGGGAACTGTTGCCCGGAGCCGGCACTGGGGAAGAGGTGTTCCAGCAGCCCCCTCACCTTCCAAGGGGTCGCTCCCACCAGGTTTGGCTCCCCCAGTTGTTTCTGCCTGCCTCTCCCTCTCTCCCCCAGTCTGTGCTCTCCCCACGCTCAGAAAATGCAGAGCTTTCTTCCCACCATTCTTCCCACTTACTTTTCTTGCCCCCACCTTGCCCCTCAAGCAGCAGCGGCTTCCTGGAGCTCCCTTTCTAACTTTCGGAAGACTGGGCTGGGCTCCGGTGCAGGACACTCGCAAGCAGCAGGATCAGGTCCCTAGCGCCCCTCTGGGGCCTGAAGCCCTCTAGAGACCCCCTCAGGGAATGATGGAACAAGTGCGTGTACCTCCAGACCATGCCTGGCCTGTTTATACGGGGGTTCTTCAAAAAGTTGCTGCCTTTTTTAAACTCCCGTTTATTAAGAATTGCAAAAATAAATTACATCATTTTCCTACATATTCACCTTCCTTTGCAATGCATGATTCCCAGCATCATACCAACTTTTTATGCCATCAGAAAAAAATATAAAATCTATTTATAAAGTATGAAATATAAATGTGCGGAAACTTTTAGAAGACCCCTCGTATATTGAAAGGGAGAAAAGAAGGCGGGAGGAGCCGAGGGTGTCCTGGTGGTGCCAAGGAACCGGCAACTGCAGGGATCTGAGGAGAGCGACAAGAGAGGAGGATGGAGTGAGCAGCAGAGAGCTGGGCGGGAGTCAGCCGACCAAGGCGAGGTGAGGGAGGACGCGGCTGCATGGGCCAGGCAGAAGATGGCAGAGTATTTTTCGAGAGGGAGGAAGGTCCATATTTGTGCAAAGTCATCAAGTGGAGGAGAGGCATTTGGGGGCATGGGCAGAGTATGAGGAGAGAAGAAAAGGGGAGATGTGAGATAGTATTCATTCTATTCGCTGCGTTCTTGCCCCTCTTTGCAGGAAAGTGTTGTTTGCAAAGGCAACTGAGATCAATATGGGAGAGGGAGAGGGAGAGAGGGGCCCTGCCAGTGGGCTGGGGGGAAGTGGAGGGCAATCCATTTTGGAAAACCATACAGAGGCATCTCCACACACCCGCTGCTGGTGTTCTGGAGGCAACAGTGCTCGTGGTCCGTCGTCCCTTCTGCCTCTGGATAGAGCCGGAGCATCTTCTCTCCGACCGGAAGCGAGCTGCCTGCACTGCTGCGTCTCTGGCTGACAGCTGGCCCAGGCTGGCCTCTCCCTTGCCTGGAGGGACGGCGGAGAAAGACGAGGCCAGCTTCACTCTGCCTGCTGCCATAAGCAGTTTTGCGTTCTTTCCATTGGCACAACAAAATGTGGATTTGCTCCTTTGTTCTAACTTTCCTCCTGGCTTCCCCATCTCCCTGGGATGCCTCTTTGCTCGGGGCATGGCAGAGTCCTGCAACACTCCTTCGCTCTGCTTCAGCACACAAAGCAGCTTTCTCTCGGGGAAGGACCCTGCCCCCGCTCTTGCCTCCCCCCGCCACCGGTTCTTCTGTGCTGCCATCCTTTCCCTGGTTTGCGGCAGGCAACTGTGTGGATGCAAGCCCCCAACCGCCCTGCCCGTGACAGCCCTGCAAGGTGGGCTCAACCATCCACGCTGGTCTCCTTTCCCCTCTGCCTTCCACGTTCCCTAGCGGGATGCTCTCCTCCAGGGAGTTTTGCCTCCTCATGATGTGCCCAGAGCGAGGCAGCCTCAGTTTGGCTATGTTTGCTTCTAGGGGAAACTCTGGCTTGTTTTGGTTCCTCTTGCTGGGAATCTGCAAAGCTCTCCTCCAGCACCGTGTTTCCAATGCATCAATTTTCCTCCTGTCAGTTTTTGTCCCTGTCCAGCTTTCACATCCATACCTAGCGATTAGGAATACACCATGGGTGATCTTGGGCTCCAGTGAAACGTCCCTATACTTGGTCTTTTCTAGTTCCCTCATTGCTGCCCTTCCATGTCTCAGTCTTTTTCAGATTCCTTGGCCGCAGGCTCTCTTTGAATTAATCGAATTCAGTGACGGAGCCAAGGGATGCAAAATCTTTGACAACTTCAGTTCCTGCATTCTTAACATTGAATGCTCTGTAATTCTGCTGGAGGCTTGGCATTTGCTTGATTTTGCAGTGTGATTTTTGTTCAGCTCCAGTCCTGCTTGTGCACTTCTTTTGCTTTCATCCATTTGTCGTTTCAGTTTATTGCTGCTTCCTCCCAGGAGTCTGTTATCTTCGGCATATCTTACATTATTGATGCGTTCTGCCAATTTTCACTAATTCCTCTGATTCCAAACTAGATTTTTTATTATATGTTCTGTGTACAGACTGAACAGACAAACAGATAAAATTCAGCCCTTTCTGCAGCCCCGGATCAAAGCAACTGGAGGCCCCGGGAGGGAGACCTTGGGAAGTCCAGACTAATAGCATCTGATCACAAGAAACAACACCCTGTTCTCTTCTTTATCTACTCAGTGAAACTAGAACATGACTAAAATTTTAGCACTGATTAAAAGATTGTTTACAAATGTATAACCTTTAATAAGTTTACAAAAGTATGGAATTTATGGAGATGTTCACATGGAACTTTCATAGGGGAATCATAGCTATGTTATAATATTACATTATATACAAAGTCAGAATGGTTTCTTTCAAGCTTTTTTGGATGCAAACTTAACGATATCATTAAAATCAGTAAGTTGCAGTCTATCATCTTCTGTGCAGGGAATGCTTAGCTCAGACAAGCAATCTTGGGACATTGTTGGCTGTAGATCATTCTTTATCCTTTCTAGTCTAGAAAATGATCTTTTGCCTAGGTATGTCCCTGATTTTTATTGTTACCAATGCAGTAAAATTAACGGTAATTATATATAAAAAAAAAAAGGTTTGGCAGGAGGCCAAGGCCTCCCTGGATATGAAGCCTCAGTCCTTTGCCACTGCTTATCTGACATCTTAACCTGCGGAAAACCATTCTGCTTCCCCATATTCTGCCTTAACGGTAGTTTCTTGACCGCAATAGAGGTCATGAATCAGGACTGCTGAGCACTTGCAGGAGGACCCGCAGCTGCTTCTGATCAATACAGTCAAAGTCTCTGCTGTAGTCAAGAAGGCACTCACCTGTCTTCTGAAATTCTTTGGTGGTGCCAGTAGCCAATGTAGATTTTTGATGTTTGTTTGTTTGGGATATTTCTAACCCATGATATGATCTCTAGTGCCACTTCCTTCTCAGAATCCGAGTGGATTCAGGGATGTCTCCCTCCATGCAGGGCACTGTCCTTTGGTGCAACACCTGAGCATCACGTTCCTTCGGACTGCTGCACTCTCTGGAACCTGGGATACTTCTCTTGGTCCCCCTCCTACCTGGCTGCTTTGTTCCTCCCAGGTGCTTTCAGAGCAACTTTCACTTGACTTTCGAATCTTGCAGGCTATTCCTCATAGGGACCCCCTCTGAAGGAGTCTGCCACTCTTTCCTCTCCTTTGTATATTCTTTCGACCATCTCTTACTTTCCTCCTGGTCAGGCAGTGTGCCCCCCTGCTCGTTGTTTAGCAGTCCTAATCTAGATTTGAATTTCCCTTTGATTTCCTGAATCTTCACAAAAAGGTCTCTTATTTTCCCTCTTCTGTTGTTTTGATCAAATTTTATTATTTTCTCCGTAAGTCCAAAACTAAAACAACAATTATGCAGAACATCGGACATACTGGGTCGACATCTCACTCTTTTTTACATTCAAAAATTGTCTTTGATTCTATGCATAGTCCCATTTCTCTAACCAATGACAGAAAATATTCCAGGTTTGATAGAAGTACGTATCTTCTTCTTCCTTCAAAGACAAAGTCAACCTGTCCATCTCTATGCAATCCAAACTCTTTTTTAAAATCAACTCTTCAGTAGGTGGCTCTTCACTTCTCCTATGCTGGGCAAATGCAATCCTCGCCGCAGTAGTTATATTTTCCCTCTTCTGTTGTTCTATATCTTTGCAGCAGTCATTCTAAATGGTTCTTTCTGTTCTTCATGTGAACGTCAAATGTTACTCAAGCTGCATTTCTGTCATTTCTATGTATTTCTAGGTTTCTGTCATTGTTCTTTTTTAGCTTGAATTTGATTCTTGATATCAAGAATTCAGGGTATCTACTGAAATCTGCTCCTGGTCTTGTTTGGCCAATGAGAGTAGAGCTTCTCCATTTCCTGCTTCCATTTACATAGCTTATTTGATCGCTTGAAGAATTTATTTGCAACAAACTGTTGACCTCACAGAAATCCGTGAGCTGTTCTACTGCTTCATTTCTTACCGCTAGACCAAATTCTCCTACAATATTTGATTTGACTTGTTTCCTACTTCTGCATTCCAGTCACCTGGGATTATCAGCACACCTAGTTTTGGTGTGTTATCAATTACTTCTTGAACCCCTGCATGAAAGTTTTCAGTTTTTTCTTCAGCAACTGTTCTTGGAGTGAATTATGGTTATTTTGATTGGTTTTCCACAAATTCTGATTCAAATGATTTGTCAGGTTTTGCATCATAGCATCTTACTGGCTATGCTACATCTTGCATACTATCAAAGCCACTCCATTTCTTCCGAGTTTGTCATTTCCAGAGCAAAACACTTTGTGTTTGTCCAGCTAAAAATGTCTCACTCCAGTTCACTTTAGCTCGCTCACACCAACTACTGCAGTGCTTCCATTTCTTGCTTTCGGGTTCCCAGGTCACCCTGATTCACACATTCACATTTCACAGCATCGGACTTTCCTTTCACCTTTGCACCTGTCAGCCACTAGCCTTCCTTTCGGCTTTGATCAAGTTGCATCATCAGCAACAGTGCTATTCACACTTACTTTGCTCTTCCCCAGAAGCTTGCTGAGTGCCCTCCAGCCTGGGGGTCTCCTCCTCTAGCACTGTCTTTTGTTTCATTTTGGATTTGGGCTTTCGAGGTAAAAAGGTCAGAAGGGGTTCGCCATTGCCTTCTTCCTGCAGGACTGACCGGTGCCAGCTTGAGCATCACGGCCATTGCCTCGGCCAGTTACCACTGCTGCTCAGCAGCTGCCCGTCTAGAGGTTCTCTGCCCCCATCTTCATTAGCGAGATCCCCTCTCTTCTGCTGAGGTGAGGGTGGATGCTTCTTTGGCTGGTCCCTCCGCCTTGACTATCTCACCTTGGGTGATCCTCCTAGGAGACCAGCCTGGCGGCATCGCTCCCAGCTTCTCCCACACTCTCAAGCCTCTTGCCACCTCCAAGTGTGCATCTGAGAAGGCCCCTCCCATGCTTGCTAGCTTTTAATAATCCAGACAAGGGGTGGGTTTTCCAGCTGCCTGGAGAGGTGGTGGCTCCCCCACCCTGGAGACTTTCAAAAGAAACTGGACAGCCACCTGAGTGGGATGGTGTAACGTGGTGTCCTGCAACAGCGGGGGGTTGATGGTCTTCTGGACCCTTCCAACTATACGATTCTATGATTTCTGTGATACCAAGCAAGGCAGGGCGCAACAGGAACCAAATGCAGCAGCAGTCAGGCAAGGGGCAGGCACTACAGCGAGCAGGAAGGTCTGTGATGCTGAGGCAGCATGGCAAGGCAGGATGCAAGGCAAGATGCAGGAACCAGGTGCAGCGAGGGCTGAGCAAGGGCACGCACTACAGCAAGCAGGAGGACCTGCGTGGCTGAGGCCGGTTTGGCAGGGCAGAGCTTGCTCTTGCAGGGCTGTTCCTCCAGGGCTCCCTGCTGGCACTCATCAGGAGGCCAAGAGCTCCAGCAGGGCCTGGCCAACCCTGCGAATGCTGTGGTGGTTGCTTCCCTTCTGGCACCAGACCAGCGCAGGTCCTGAAACAGGTGAACCAGCAGGATGCAGTGGTGGAGGAGGAGTGGCGCCAGCAGCCTTCAGTGGGTGCCCAAGCACACCTGCCCTGCTTCTTCACACATGACCTGTCCACCGATCCTTTAAGCCTCTCCTTCCGTATCTTCTCCAGTGCTACCACTTCTTTTGCAGATTGCATTTTGCTTGTTTGTTGGATGGGTTGATTGATTCCTATACCGTCCATTAATGGAGACGGTTCTCTGGGCAGTGCACATCGCATCATGCCATAAAGAGCCTCCTGGTGTTCCACTTGCAGATGCAATCTCGCCCCCGTCCAGGAGTACAGCCAAGACGTGGGCTCCAAGACGGACCTGGTCACCATGAACCCCTCGGTCATCCAGCGTGCCTTTGAGGACCTGGTGAACGACACCTGGCGGGAGAAGCTGCTTCAGCGCCTGCACGGCCTCAACGGCAGCATCCTGTGGATCCCCGCGTTCATGGCCAAGGGCGGCAAGGACCGCGTGGAGCGGGTGAACGAACTTGTCCTGAAGCACCACATCAGCGTCCGCATGGCCTACCCTTCCCTGCGCCTGCTGCACGCCGTGCGAGGGTGAGCCGGGCCTGAAACCACAACTGGGCACAGGGTCAAACGCCGATTCCAAAATCTAACATTTGGGGAGGTTCGGAATTCCCCTTTGGGCCAAATGAGATGAGGTGCAGGGGCATTCCTGGACATGTTCCTTTAATGCTACCGAGGCAGGTGTGGGACAAGGCCAGTTTCACCAGAGCGGAGTTGCTGGAGAGAAACGTGCATTTAACCTTGCCTGTGGGAGCGCTTTGCTCCCTTTTCCCATTTAAATTGCACGCCAGCCTTCAGCAATCTTCTTCATCTGCAGGAGGAGATATAATTGATCCACATATCCTTTGCCCTATGAGAAGAAATGCTATCTGGAGGGGTGGATTGTACACACACACACACGCACACCTCTCAAGGAGAAAGAGAGCCTCTCTTTTCGTCCACCCTGAGGAGCCTTTAATCGAATCCGGTCCCCCACCTCTGTATTAAAACAGAAACAAAGCAGGCCTCCCCGGTCATGCCTGTGCAGCAGCCCTGGGAAATTAGATGTTGAAGGGTGACTTATAGAACCAGAGGAGGAGGCAGGGCCTTCACCTTCATCAGATGACCAAGCTTTGTCTCTGCTTAAATGTTAATCTGGTTTTTGTTTGACTCACCTCCTGGTGTTTTGTGGTGGAGGACAAAGGCTCCTGTTTGGAAGTCCCCTTGAAGGGCTTGTTTCCAATGCCCAGGGAGAGGTGTGCTGTGCTGGCTTGCAGAGGAACTGAGAAATCCCACCCCTCCCTGCCCAGCTTGAAATGGGACAGGTTTAACAGCATGTCTGAATATGCAGAAGGCTGGCAATGTCCTTCCGAGGGATGCTGAGGTGGGGGCAGAATTTGACCCTGGACTGCCTGGCCAGACCAGGCAGGATCAGAAGAGCTGCAGTTGCAGCTGGAAGGAAGAGAAGGTGTCAACATTCCCCCAGGCCGAGTGGCCCCAGTTCCCCCACAGCTGGGCCATCGGTGTGGCCCCCGCCAAAGCGCACGTGCAGGCGAGGCCGTGTGCGCTCCCGTTGCGTCTGAAGCCTCATCCGGCTTCCCTGTGGGAGAGGGAAGGCTGGACAGGACCCAGCCTCACTGTGTGTGCAAGCTGGAGGGGGAACAAAGGGGATTACTCCCGCCTGCTCCTTTTCAAGCTGTAATTAAGTGGTTTGCATGAAATAAGCCCTTTAAAGCATCGGCTCCTAATCCTGTGATTGCTTGTGTGTTGGCGTGTGCTGGAAGTTGTCAGCAGGATACCCGGTGCAGGAGTGGCGTGCGTTTCTGTTGCTGGTTTGTCGTGCAGCAGCCCAGGCCCAGGCCCAGGCCCAGGCCCAGGCCCAAGAGCAGCTGTCCCAAGTAAGGCTCGCTCTAAACAGCCGCTCGTGCCACACAGACAGAAGCGCAACCACCCTTCTCTCGAAGGTTTGAAATGGGGACATTCCATAGCAGTTGCATGGGGGGTGGGGAGAAAGGATTGACCACCCAGAGGTTTCTCTGTCTAAATTTGGGGGTGTTGCAAGTAGTCACAGCCTCCACGTACGTCAGAGCTGGCAATGTTTGGGGGGCTAATCCCCCCCAAACCCATTGGGAGCTGTATTCCTGCCCCCTCTCTGAAATTCAGTGGTGCAGTGGCAAAGAGAATTGATGTGGGCAGCAAAGAAAAGACTGAAAGGACCTCTTTGTTTTGCTGCTGCACAAAACGCAGCAGCTACCCAGAACATGTTTTTTTAAATGCATGCATGGGGGAAGTTCCCCCTTTTTGAGGCTGGATTTCAGTGGAGATGGGGGGGCACAACAGAGGCCAGAGGGGCTGCACACTGGGATTGCCCCCACTGGCCCTGGAGCCGGCTCTGCTGCTTCCCGTCTCTGAGGAGCACGACACTGGCGTCCGTCCGGACGTGCACAGACAGGGGTGCGCTCAGCAGAGGAGAGCCGTCTGTTACAGGACGCATCCTGCAGTCATGAACAAGGCGGAAGTGCAGGCCAGGAAAGCCAACAGCTGGTGCCGAACGGAGCTAATTCAATTACAGCCCCAAGCACCGAGAGGCTGAACGCTTCAGCCAAAAGAAGGCAACAAGACAGGCAGCCATATGGCACACGCTCTGCTGCAGCAGGAGGGGAGCATCAGGCTTAAAGCTGGCGGCTAATTCACCGTCCTCTGCACCCAAGAGGCCGCTGCCATCCCCGGCCGTGCTCGTCCTTCTGGAGAGCAAGCCCTGGCGACTCAGCACCAGGCCGAGCTGGGGCAGAATCTGGGCACTGAGGGCCCAAATGGGTGGTGGGGTGACTTGCAATTGCAATCTGATAAGGGGAAGCCGGAGAATGACCGGGGTCCATTAAGGAAAGGGCAAACATGGCCGAGCCCACCCACCCCATTCTGGGCCCCTGGAAGCAATTCTCTCACGTCTTGTGTTGCAATGGCAGGCACAGTGGTTGGCTCAGCATGAGCTTCTCAAAACCATGCATAAATGCACAAATCCTGCATGTATTGCGATTGCTGGGGATGTAGCTCAGCACCTGGTTGGCATGCAGGAAGTTCCAAGAATGGCTGGGCAAAAAGAAACCCTGGAATTTGGAGGAGTTATTGCTGCCAGTGTTTCCTCCTCCTCCTCTGTCCTCTCCCTCTGCTCTCCCTCATTATTTTTTATACTGCCCAATAGTCATAGGTCTCTGGGCAGTTCAAACATGCTTCTCTAGACCAGTGATGGCTGAAACATAGAAACAGAGCAAGTCAGAAGGGGCCTCCTGGGCCATCTAGTCTGACCCCGGCTCCAGCCGGCTCCGCTCACTACATGCCCACCATGTGCACGTCCAGCCTATCCTTGAACACCCGCACCGATGGGGCCTCAACCGCCTCCTGTGGAAGCCCATTCCACACCCTCGGGGTTCTAACCATCAGGAAGTACTTCCTGGCATCTAATTCAACCTTGGTTCCCTGAGCTTGGCTCCGTTGGAGCGTGTCCTGCTTTCCTCTGCAGGGGAGAACAGGTCTCTGCTCACCTCCGCGTGACACCCGCTCACATGCCTGTATGTGCCAACAGATCCCCTCTGAGTCTCCTCTTCTCCAGGCTGAAGAGACCCAGTTCCCTCAGTCTTGCCTCATACGGCATCCCCTGCAAACCGGCCACCAACCTTGCGGCCCTACGCTGCACTGACTCCAACCTGGCTATATCCTTCCTGTAATGAGGGGCCCAAAACTGAGCGCAATACTCCAGTTGCAGGTGCACCAGAGTCGTGCAGAGTGGCAGTAATACCTCTCTCGATCTAGACGCCACGCTTCTGGCTATGCAACCAAGGGTGGCGTTCGCCCTCTTGGCCACCGCATCACACGGCTGACTCATGTTTAGCCTGTAGTCAACCTGCACCCCAAGGTCCCTTTCACAAGTGCTGCTCTCCAGCCACTTGTCCCCTAACCTGTACTTATGACACCCATTCCTATGCCCCAAGTGCAAGACCTTGCACTTATCCACATTGAACGCCATCCTGTTGTCTCCTGCCCACTTCCATAGTCTGTCCAGATCCTTCTGGATCTGGAGTACCTGCTCCTCAGTTGTGGCCACTGCCCCAGTTTTAGTGTCGTCTGCGAATTTGATCAGCAGACTGTTCACCCCTTCTTCCATGTCGTTAATGAAAAGATTAAACAGGATCGGCCCCAGGACAGAGCCCTGGGGGACCTCGCTTGTCACTGGCCGCCATCCCGATGATTCCCCGCTAATGGTGACCTTCTGCTTTCGGTCAGGCAGCCATGCCCTAATCCACCGGACAGTGCTTTGGTGTATCCCAAAACTCCTCAGTTTCTCCACCAGGATATCATGGGGCACTTTGTCAAAGGCCTTGCTGAAATCCAGGTAAACCACATCCAGTGCATCCCCTCCATCTAGCCATCTCGAAACCTTGTCATAGAATTCCACAAGGTTTGTCTGGCAGGACCTGTTTTTGCGGAAGCCATGTTGTGTGGCTGTCAGCCTCCCTTCCCTTTCTAGCATCACTAGATCTCTCTCTATTATGAGCCTTTCCATTGTCTTTCCTACAATGGAGGTAAGGCTAACTGGTCTGTAATTCCCCATGTCCCTTCTACTACCCTTTTTGAAAATTGGGACCACTGATGCCACCCTCCAGTCCTCTGGAACATCACCTGTTCTCCATGAGGTCTCAAAAATGGAGGCCAGCGGGTGTGAGAGAACCCCTGCCAACTCCCTAAGTACTCTCGGGTGTAACCTGTCAGGGCCTGGCATCTTTGTAATGTCCAATGCCCTGAGGAGCCCCTCGACTTCAAGGGGGGTGACCCTAATCTGTGCCCCTAAGTCCCCAGCCTCATCTAATCTCCTATGCAGATATCCCCCATCCTGCTTTGGGGAAAACACAGAGGCAAAATAGTCATTTAGCATCTGTGCCTGTCCCCTCATATCAGTCACTGGATCTCCTTCCTCCTTATGTAGTGGTCCCACCACTTGTCTCCCCTTCCTCTTCCTATTTACATGCTGAAAGAAGCCCTTTTTGTTGCTCTTGATATTCTTGGCAAGTCTCAGCTCATAATCAGCCTTAGCCTTGCGAAGAATCCTTCTGCAATGGGCCTCCTCCTCCCGGTATTCCCTTTTGTCTATTTGCCCCAGTACCCATTTCCTACAGAGGTTCCTCTTTCGTCTAATCCCTCTAACCACCTCCTTTCACATCCATGGCGGCGCTCTCCTCTGCCTCCCCACCTTACTGACTAGAGGTATCGTCAAGGCTTGCGCCTCCAAAACCTCCCTTTTGAGTGCTATCCACCCCTCCTCAACTCGCTTACCTTCGAGTAACCTATCCCAGGAGACTTTCCCCAGTCTGGCCTTCAGTTGGCCAAAGTTGGCCGTCTTGAAGTCCCAGCTTCTAGTGCTCGACCTGCTGCACGTTCCCAGTTCCCTGATCTCAAAGCAAAGGATGGAGTGATCACTCGCATCCAGAGCTCCCCTAATCTGCACTTCATCTATCAGCTCCTCCCTATTGGTCAAGACCAAGTCAAGGATGTTTCCCCCCCTCGTTGCCTCTCAGACCCTCTGTATGAAAAACCCTTCCTCTATAGCCTCTAGGAAGCGACGTGACCTGGCTGTCACCGCCGAGTGAGTCTCCCAACTAATATCCGGGAGACTGAAATCTCCCATAATTACTGTGTCTCTCCCCCGAGATATCCTTAGAATCTGGCCTGTCAGGACATCATCCAGGGTCTCAAGTTGACCTGGAGGGCAATGACATACCCCCACTGTCAGGTCTCTTTCCCTGTCAAAACCCCAAAGTTTCACCCAGACTGCCTCCACCGAATCCCCATCTGTGCTGCATCCTATCTCCCTGCATCCCATCCCTTCCCTGACATATAAAGCTACGCCCCCACCCCTCTTTCCCTTCCTGACCTTTCTAAAAAGGTGATACCCCTCTGTGTTCACATTCCAGATTTGCCTTTCTGTGATTCCAACCAGGTCATACCCTCCTATTCCCAGGAGAGCTTCAAGCGCTTCCTGCTTATTACCCATGCTCCTAGCATTGGTGTATGTGCACCTCAACTCCTTCCCACCGCTTCCTTTCCTTACCTGGCCCCTCTCTGTAGGAGTCCTGTCAGTCCCTGCAGTACCTCTAAAACCCTGCTCCCAGAGCCCTGATCCTCTCCCCACACTTGTCCAGTGCAGACACATTTCTGGGGGGCCTGAACCCCCCCACCCCCCCAGCTCACTTTAAAGTCTTCCAGATGAAGCTCGCTAGAGCATCTCCAAAGGACCTTTTCCCCATCCTCGTGAGGTGTAACCCGTCCCTTGCCAGATGTCCATTGGCAAGAAACCAGGTGCCGTGGTCGAGGAACCCGAAGCGTTGTTCCTTCTGGCACCAAACCCTAAGCCAGTCGTTCACCTTGGAGGCCCTCCTGTCCCTGCCTGGCCCAAATTCCCAGACTGGCAAGATCGACAAGAAGGCCACTTGGGCCTTCAGCTCCCTGAGTTTCTTCCCCAAGGCCTCGAAGTCCCTGGTGATCCCGACCACACCCTGCCTGGCCACATTGTTTGTGCCTACTTGGTCACCAGGAGCGGCTGGCTGGTGACCCCCGGAGCGAACAAGACGCTCCACTCTGTCCTTCACATGCCGGATGCGTGCGCCCAGCAGGCAGCAGACCCCCCTTGTCTCCAGGTTGGGGCGGCACACTGCCGCCTCAGTGCCCCTCAGCAGGGAGTCCCCAACAACAATCACCTCCGCCGTACCTTCCCGGTGCTGGTGGGCGGCCATGCCCTGGCCCTCGCCTCTCCTGCAGCGGCCCCCTTGCCGCCTGACGTCCCAGGCTGGGGGTCCTGCTGGTCCCCCGAGGCCTCATCAGCCCCAGCCTCCCCAAGTGGAGAGAACCTGTTTCCCAGCTCCAGGTTGGCGCCAGGAGGAGGAGGCGGCCTCCTGTGGGTGACGTGCCTCCATGTCTCCCCGGCTGCTCCTCCCGTGGCCCCTCCCTCCACCCTCTGCAGGGAATTTTGCATCTTCTGAAAGTGTAGTGAGGACCTCTGCTAGAGCAATGGGCACACAAGCCGCCGGGACCAGAACTGTCCCACCTGCCATGGCTTCCCCTCCCCATTTCCCCCCATCAGTCTGAATGCCTGGCTGAGTGCGGGGAGGAGTCTCTTTATTTTGGTCTACTAAATAGACTCTAACTTCTTTTTCTACAAGAAGCTCAAGGAGGTGTACATGATTTTCTGTCTCCCTAAAGGCACTCTTCTGGCTAATGGGGCAGGATGAACATCAAATAAGTAAATTCCATCCTTGCAACATCACCGTAGGGCCGGTTGGGTTGAGAAGGGGCCACCGGGGAGCCTCAGGGCTGAGTGGAGATGCAAACCTGACTCACATTTGATTTGATTCCAGTCTTCGTCCAACATGCTAAGCCAGACTTCCCCAAGCTGGTGCTTCCAGGAGTGCTGGACTGCAACTCTTTTCATTCCCAGACACCACGACCCTCAGCACGGCTGCTGGAACCACTCCACCCCGCTAGCTCCCCTGACAAATTCTGACAAATGTCTTTCTGGATTTGGAAAAGTGAGCCATGGAAGGTTCGCTTCCCCTTCCCTGCACACGCTTTTTGCTCTTCAACGAATCCCACACCCATCTTGACTGAGTGGAATTTTAAGCTATTGTGTCTGTTTCCACCAGTTACCACCTGAACTTAAGATGGCTTCTACCCAGTTCTGCTCTCCTTGTGCTGCACCTGCGGTCCCTCCGGGATCCCAGTGACTTAAATTCCCAGTCCTTTATTTCTACAAATGCTCTTTTGCAGGCTTAGGGAAAAGCGTTCTCTTTGCCAGAACGGCTTGCTGAAAAAGGAGGTATCGGTTGGCAGGTGTCTCTGAACGTTTTCCCAGCTGCCCGAGTCAACAGAAACCGTATGCTTAATAGCTGCGCTGATTGGTGTACCCAATCGATGGTGGTACTGCAATAATTACAGCCTTTCTCAAGATTGCTTTGCCTTCTAATTAAAACCTGGAGTCTTGCTCAGTAATGGTTTGCCGTTGATGCGGGATCCCACATACCCCCAGCGCAGCATCAACTGTGGCTGCAAAATTAATTAGTTTTCGTTACGGTCCCCAGCTGTTTTGCAAAACAGGAGAGTGCCGTGCTCAGGGGGACCGTGGACTTTGTGGGTAAAAAGAAGATGGCCATTTGCTCGCCGTCTGCAGCCCTGGCCACATGGCGGCAACGCATGATCCAGATGTGCTGCCCAGGGGCCCGCTCCCTGAACGGCAAGGAGCCCTGGGGCGCACTGGTCGGATTGCCCCATGAGGTGCAAATGCCGCGAGTCTGTGTTTTGCGGGCTTCGTGTTTGCAGATGCCTTTGGGCTCCTTGAGGTGTCTTCCAGCAGCAGGACGACGCCACTGCGATTCTGTGTGGCGGAGGCTCCATCTCCGAGTGGGACTTTTTTGCCAACAGAAGGCAGATCTTGGTTGTGTGAATCCTGGCTCTTCTTGCATTGCCTTCAAGCTCAGGGAGCGCTCAGATGAGCTGCCCTTCAGACCTAGATCTGGTGGAATGCAGGACTCCCCACCAGTTTGCAACTTTCAGGCTTCGTTTTTGCTGGGATCATGTCCCGGAACCCTCCTGGATATTTTCAAGAAGGCTGAACATGGAAAACTGCACTGGAATTTACAACCTAACCTTCTGCCTGGCACGATAAATAGAGGCGATTTCCATTGCTGAGAGTTTTCTTTTTGCAGAGACAGCACGGTGTAGTGCTTGGACTTGTGGACTGGGGCTCAGGAGATCTGGGTTCTAGTCCCCACTCAGCCATGAAGTTCCCTGGGTGACTCTGGCCCAGTCACAGAAACTCAGTTTCACCTACCTCACAGGGCTGTTGTTCTGAGGATAACACGGAGAACCTTGCAAGCTGCTTTGGCTTCCTTGCAAGAGGGAGAAAGACAGGATATAAAGAAAATGTAATCATCCTCCCACAGGGAATATCCTGCTGCATCCTAGGAGCAGCTTCCCCATGTTGGCCTAGACCAGGCCTAAATCTCGATCAGGCCTGGCTCTTTCACCTGACTGCACCTGCACACATTTCTGAATTTAAAACAATAACTGACAGCCCTTGGTAGACTACTAAGACTTAGGGAAAAAGCGAAGAATGGGAAGACACACTAGAGGTGCAGAAAATTAAAGGGGCGTTGGACAGATTCATGGTTGGGGGGGGGATTTGCATGGCTATTGGTCCTAATGGCTAAATGCTACCCCCCGTATCTGAGGTGGTACGGCTATGTGCCCCAGTTGCTGGGAACATGGATGTTGTACCAAGGGGTTTTCTACAGGCAACTCTGTGAAGAGACTGCTGGGCCTGACTTTGATCTTCGCGGGTCCTCATGCTCTTTCCAGCAAGTCCCCTCCATTTGGGTCCTTTCCCCTGCAGGTTCACAAAGTGGGGGAAGCACCTGCAGCAAGGTCTGCAGCTGACAGGAACTTTTAATTTTAGCATGAGAATCTGAGGTGCCTCTACCACCTGGATGCCTCCTGCATGCCCATTTATCCTGACTCTTGTAACCTCCAGGACCAGTGGCAGAATCCTCCTTCTTTTCTGGGGCTTCTCGGGTCATTCTCTCAGGAAGGTACTGAGACCCGACACTCACTCCACATGCTGGTTTTAGTGCAAACTTTAAAATAAGGAACAAAATCAGCACAAAACAAAGCCAGATGAAAGCAAGGAATAAAGCCTTTGTAAGTGCGTGACGGCACAGGAAGACTTGCAGCGGGCCTGGGTCCAAAAAGCAGCACCCCCGTTCCTAAAGCGCCCGGGAGGAAAGGCTCCTCCCGTGGCGCCAGCAAGACCACCTTCTGGGGGCTGGGGAGCGTCTCTGCGGCAGGGAGCCCACCAGCCGGCGGCCCGCCTCGCCTCACCGCGCAGGCTTAGGCTTAGGTTTAGGCTTAGGCTTAGGCCAGGCGGGACTCCGGCCGAGCTGCCCAGGGCCTTCAGGGCTGACAGCAGCACCCGGGGACAGACCGGCGGCCCGCGCAGATGGCGAAGCGCCGCGCCGCACGGCGGCTCTGCGCAGGCGAGCCGCCCTTCTCACCATGTGCTCTTCCCCCCCAGGTACTGGCTGACCAACAAGGTCTACATCAAGCGGCCCACCACCGGCCTCCTCATGTACACGCTGGCCACCCGCTTCTGCAACAGGATCTACCTGTACGGCTTCTGGCCGTTCGCCCGCGACCAGGCGCAGCGCCCGGTCAAGTACCACTACTACGACAGCCTGAAGTACGGCTACATGTCCCAGAGCAGCCCGCACACCATGCCGCTGGAGTTCAAGGCCCTGCGCGCGCTGCACCAGCAGGGGGCGCTGAAGCTCACGGTGGGGGCGTGCGACGGGGCCACGTAGGGCGTGCCGGCGCGCCTCGCGGGGGCTGCGCGCGGGAGGACCGGGAGGGGGAGGCGAGGCTGGGCCGCCGTGGCGGCGCGGCTTTTCTCGGCCGCCGTCCGGAGGGGGCGCGGAGGGGCGCCGGGCGGGGCGCCGCGCCGGCGGGGCTCACCGGGCGGCTGGCCGGCG